TAATATGGGCACATGCACCAGAATGTATCTAGCCTCATTTCAAGGCTCAGGCAAGAAAGACATGACACAGTCCTCCTTCCTCCACAATGTCAAACTGTCACAGATAGTGGGAAAATCAGTTCTCGGAGAGACTTATAAGGGACTTGAAATCACTTCCTTGCAAGTATATCACTTGACAAGTAAGCCTTAAAGTAAGATGACTTCTCTCACATTTCAGTTGTGAGCCTCTTCCTTTCAGTTGGTAAGGTCAGTAGGAAACTAGAATCTCACTGAAATTTGTGGAGAAGTTATGTTCCTGGGAGGTTCTTCTCATAGAGCAACTTCTCACAATATTAGACAGACACAGAACTGCAATACTCAGCAAAACTCAGCAGAGCTCTTTCATCTCCAAGGACATGATAAGTTATTGTACTGTAAGTAGAAATGTGAATGATGTTTACCTTTGATTGTGTAAGGCTACTCTGGACTAGCTTGCAGAATTTGATCTACCTGACTTCATTCATTCTAAATATGGGGGTTAACTTCAAACTGTTGTTTGAAGATTTTGTTACTGGTCTGTACGTGTTTATGTTAAAGTGAAATGTTGTGATTACTGAGCTTCTGTAGTGAAAATAAAGATAAGAATCTCTTGTTAACTGAAGACAACAAACCTCTTTAAAGTGTTTGGATACAGAATGCTTTCTTCTTGTAACAACCAACTTCAGAAAGAGCTTTCCACTACTTCAGGTGGGAGGGCTGTTTACAAACATGTAAACATGTTCCTAAATAGTCCAGAAATTTAGAGCTAGCAAATAAGGAGTTTATATTTTTAAAAGGATACCTACTGAAATTCAAAGGGCTGCCTCATACAGGTTCAGCTAACAATGGTAATGTATAAACATGCAAAGAACATATAGTTTCATTATAGAATCTGCCAAGGTGTGGATAATTTTTAGCATAGAAGAGAAGCATAGGTTTTGGAAGAACTAAGGAACAAAGTTTTAAATAGATTTAGATCCTCTCAGTCTTACTTCAGTGCTTGGTAAAATTATGGAGAAGATTACTCTGAGAGTTACTGAAAAGCACAATGCAATCATTAATCAGCCAACATGGGTTCATGAAGAGAAAGTCCTGAGTCCTGTTTATGAACTTTTTTTCCTTTTATGACAAGGTTACCCTCCAAACTGACCAAGAGAAGCAGTTGATACAATATTTTTGAATTTCAACAAAACTTTTGGCACTTTTTCTCACAATATCCTTCTGCATAAAATGTCCAGTGTGCAGCTAGACAAATATAGATTGCAGTGGGTGAACAATTGGCTGATGGGTCAGGCTCAAAGGATTGTTTATAGTAGATGGAGTTACATCAGGCTGGTGGCTAGTCACTGGTGTGATCTGTAGAGCTCCATTTTAGGGCCAGTTTTCTTTAACATATGCATCAGCGAGCTGGCTACAAGACTCAAAGGTGTACATGAAAGCCTACAGAGTACGCTTGCGAATAACGCTGTAGAGGAACTGTTGGATCATGGCCCAAACCTCTGATTGACCACTTGAGGCGAGCACTGAGTCAGCTGTGGGAGCACAGGTGAAAGCAATTCACCTGTGTGATCAGCTACGCTCCACCTCTCCTAGACCCCATTTAAGGGCTGACTGCCACTGGGGAAGGGTCTCTCTCTCTGGAGATCAATCCTTGTGGAGTTTACTGCAAGCTTACAGCACCAGTGAGCACTTTCCATTTATCTTTGATTATTATCTTTCCAATGTGATAATCTTAGTAAGCCTAACTTTTCTGTATACTTTTTGATCATCCAATACTTTATATTACTTGATATAAAGTATACGTACTGATCTTACAAACACTAAAATAGAAGAAGGTCTTTGTTGACTCCCTCAAGGGTAGAGAGGTCTTAGAGAGAGATCTTGATATATTAGAGCAAGTGTTGAATTCTGCACCTGGGATGGAACAGCCCTGTATATATTACAGACTAAGTGACAGAAGGCAGGAGATCAGTCCCCACAGAAAGGGATCTAGGGGTTCTGGTTAAAGACAAGTTGAATTTGAGTCAATGCTGTGCTCTGGAAACCAAAAGAGCCCATTGCACCCTGGAGTGCACCAGGCCCAGCATTGCCAGCCAGGTGAGAGAAGGGATTGTCCCACTCTGCTTTGTGCTGGTGTAGCCTCACCTCCAGCACTTTGTGCAGGTTTAGGCACCACAGTGTGAGAAGAATATAAAACTATTAGCATCCAAAGGACAGCTACAAAGATACTGGAGGGCAAGGCATATGAGGAGCTGCTGAGATCCCTTGGTTTGCTCAGCCTAGAGAAAAGGAGATAGAGGGGAAGTCTCATGGCAGCCTGTGGCTTCTTTATAAGGGGTGCAGAGGAGTAGTACTGAGCTCTGCTCTCTGGTGACAGCACCAGGGCCTGAGTGAATAGCATGGAGCTGCGTCAAGGAAATGTTGGGCTGAGGATTATGGAATGGTTCTGCATCATGGGGCAGTGGGCATGGCACTGAACTGCCAGAGTTCAAGGGGCATTTGGATATCACTCTCAGTTTTGGATTTGAATTTTGGGTAGTAGGAACCTCTGTTGGTTCCTTCTAACACAGGATATTCTATGATATCTGGATAAAGCAGTTTACCTGATACCTGGGGAGTGACATGCAGAACTGTATATTCTTCAAGTTTGATAAGATCCCACCATCACAGGAAAGGGAGGAAGGAAGGATTACATCAATTAAGGATTTTGTTGGAAAACAAAGAGATTTTAATGGGTGAATGGGAATTTTGAGCTAATAAGCAAGTATAATAATATGTAGCATGTCTGTTGGACTCCTTTCTCATTCAGTTACAATCATCTAGGGAAGAATGCAGTTCTTTTAGATTCTCCAAATAATAGGAGAAAACTCCAGCAGTCTTCTATAAAACCAATGGCTTACATGTCCACTGAAGTTACTTTGAATTTTTCTTTCCTAAGAAATGTTTTTACTGTACTTTTACAGTATGCTTTTTAATATGGGAATGACATTATTAGATAAAGAGATTACCAAAAAAGTAGTATGATATTTTCTAGAACAGTCTTGAACTTTATTTGCATTACAGTAAATGAAGTGTGCAGCATATACAAGTGGAAAACGTGCTAGAAGGATCACACTTGTTTTCCGGGATTGTCATTTATGTGTTGTTCTTAAGTTTATTCTGGCTTTCTTCGTCCGACCCAGTTCCTGTATTCTTGAATTCAAATATCTTGTAAAGAAATGTAGGTTTTTATTCAATTACAACAAAAGGCAATCTTATGTGAGGTATGAGTCATTTCTGTGTAGGGATAGAAGTGATGTGATTTCTTAAACTTCTTTAATTGTGCTGGCTTTACCCCTGCAGGTTTTAATGTATTTTCTTTACAGAGACAAAACACCTAGAAACTTATCTTGCAATTTCAGCTAAAAGTTCATTCTGTATCTTGCTGTCATTATATTCAGATCAGTCTTATTAGTTCAGAGACTTCTAGTTTGTGCAGATTAATAAAATTCAAGAAAGGATCTTTCAAACGAATCTCAAGAGCAAATCAGAGTAAGAATCAGGCTAACTTATATGCAGAGGACGTTCTGAGAAGAAGCTTTACCTTATGTTGCTGATAATCAGATGCATATTGTCCTCCAGCTTATTACAGAGCAAATCTCAGCATTTTGCAGTTAGCGTTCTATAAAAAGAATATTACAAAACTTTATGATCTTGTTTTTACAAACAAAGCAATAAGAATACTTCAGCATGTCAATGTCATCCTGCAAGGCGTTGGTTTATTAGTGAGATAAGAGGTTATTGGGCTGCTGTGGAAATGCAGAATAGACTAAATCTGTACTCCACTTCAATATCTGCATATAAATTCATGTAGAAAAATACAGAAATAGAGAAAATTCCCACCCTTATCCCACAGCTATTTAGACTCCATAATGCTAAACAAAATAAAATTTGCTTCTTTCAGACTTATCTGCCTGGGAGTTTTTCTTACAAGTCTTCTCTGTTTTATAATTTCAGGAAGCTAATTTAATTTGACCAAATTCTTACACAAGAAAATTGGTAGTTTTCTTTCCTGTAAAGTGCCAACAAAAATAAACTTTGTGGGACATAAGCCAGAGCTGGGATTCATTAAAAAATGGCCCTTGATTATGTCTACAGGATGAGTGCAGAAAGCCACAGGATGCCTGTCCCTCCAGTTGCTTTGCGTCAGTTCCACTCCAGGATTATGGGCTATGCTTTTGCAGATCTACTAGTACAGTAATACAACAAAGCTTCCAGTCCAAAGCTAGTGCAAAACCAAACAGGAGATGGAGCACAATAAGGTCGTGACTGCTTGTCCGCATGCCTATGCATGTAATTCATACCCAAAATGTGGGCATGAATTGAGATGTAATTTTGGGAAAGAGAGTAGGGCAACTAGACCTCCATTCTAGAGGAGTTTTCTAAAATCTCCCTAAAGAGAATTGAGGAGGCAACAGGGGATGCGACTTGGTGAAGATAAGTTAGCCAAGACTGGAGAAATGCAAAACTAGGCAAAGAAGCCATATGATGGCTGAGTTTTAGATGCCTTTCAGATGTGAAGTGAGATACAGAGGAAATAGTTTGGACTATTATTTCATTAGTACGTTCCAAGCTAACAGGAAAAGGCACGAATACAAATCTGAGCAGCAGAAAGAAAATCTGTTTAACATCCAGCATTAATCAAAGCCTCTGTGAAGATGCATAAAGAATAGGAAGTAAAATAAGATGTTCATCAGAGAAAAGACTTTATTTTACCAAGTCAGCAGGAAAGCAGGATATTTAATTGTGTAGTGGCTACTCTACACTTTAATGAAGGTAGCGTATGTTTACTGGTATTTTTCTATATGTTAAGAATGAAAAAACTAGACTTGTTAAGCTTACAAGTTATATGAGCTATTAATTTTTGTTTAATTATCCCCATCAAGGATGTAATTTCAGTCAGTGCATGAAAAAAATAGTATTTGTTTTTTTCTGCTGCACAGAACCTGAAGCGTGTGGCGGAGACATGGATGGATGAGTTTGCAGAGTACATTTACCAGCGACGGCCCGAGTACAGGCATCTCTCGACTGGTGACATCTCTGCCCAGAAGGAACTTCGCAAGCACCTGAAATGTAAAGATTTCAAGTGGTTCATGGCTGCAGTGGCTTGGGATGTCCCCAAATATTACCCACCTGTGGAGCCTCCACCTGCTGCCTGGGGGGAGGTGAGGAATACAAATTAGAAGAAATTTAAATGAGCCTAACATTTTACATCACAGGAAATTAAAAGTATGAAATTATATTTGGCACCTTTGATAAGTAGTGTTATTAAGAAGTTCATCCTGGAATTAGCCATTAAAACAAGAAACTGTCATGTCTTAGGACTGTTGCTGTCCATTTTATAATTCATTACAATTTAGTGTGTACAGGCCATAAGATACATGCCCATTGAGAACAAGAACATGGAAAAGAATATGTAGCACTCGTTATTGCATACCACAAGTTGATTTTAGAGTCTCATTAGCAAAAAGGGGTCTGAAGTCAATACTGTATTTTTGCAAATCTGCTTATGTGCCTCCTCCTAGTCTTACAGACCACCAGAATTACTGTGCAGGTGCAGTCATGTTTGGTCTGTTTTGCTCATATATGCAAGTATGAAAAGTGGAGCTTTGCTACGTTTCTCTTAAAAAGATATTTTTTTTAATTTTGCTGAATAATTTTGCTGAACTTGTGGTCTGCATTTTGTAGGTTCCACATGCTGGTAGTAGACAAATGGAATGCGTCTTTTGGGGAAAAGGGAAGGGAAAGGAGAGGAAAGGAAAGGGAAGCTAGCATCTGAGCATCCCGTGAGCAGTGAGCAAACAGCCTGATGGAACTCTCCCACCATACTCAAAGAAGATCTGCCTACAGACTTCTCTGAAGAGCAGAGACATGGCAAACCCTGTTTTGGCAGTCTGTTTTGTGTAGGTAAAATGAAAACACAAAGAGTGCAGGGGCAGGAAATGACTTTCATAGCTGTACTGGAAGTCTCAGTGGCCTTTTACTCCTAGAAGCTGCTGATGATTTATTGCATCTTGAAGGTGATGCACATACAGCTTTTTCCTCTTGATCTGCTAAGATTTATAAGAAGGACTTCCCTCCTGTGTTTTGCTGCTATTTAAACAATGTAAGAATATCTGTGCCGAGTTCTGGACCTTTCTCATTTTACCAGATGCTCAGTAGAAGCCAGGCTTGATCAGGGTTGTGTCATTACTTCTATGTCCACTTTCATGGTCTTCCACATGCATACATCTGCATTCTTCAAGGACTGTGATCATGAGATCTATAACTTCTATAGACAGCCAAACAGTTCTTAACTCAGTGAGAGGGTCTAAGTAGAAGAAATGGGATTCAGATATTAATTCTGTTCACATCATTATTGATGCATTCCTTGCAAAAAAGCATGAGTTCGTGAAAGTAAATTGTACATCATAGCAGTGGTAACTAATCTGTACCTTAAACATACTTACTGAGTTCTTAGTAAGGAACTGAAGACCGAAGTCTTTGTTTCCTCTAAAATATAGTTTCTCTGACATAAAAGAGAAGTTCCAGTCTGCCACTCAATTTTTCCCTGGGACTATCACATTCCTGTGAAGTTTTAATTAATCTGTTGGCTCTTGGTAAGAACTCAAACAAACTTGGAGGTCAATGGCTGCCATAATTAGAAATAGAGAGGAACACAGACTGTGTGTTACTGTTTTGTAAAAATCAAGCAGTTCTAGAAACCTTGCTGACTAAACACTAGAAGTCTATGCCAAGGCTGACTGCCATTTAGTATTCTCTCTGCTTGTGCTTGGAAAAATTTTATATCAGTCTGAGGAAGAATAAACAAGAGGTCTCAGGCACTCTTTGGCTCTAGTATTTTGATGCACACGTAGTAGAAGCTATGTGGTGTAAAATCAGACATCTTGTAAACAACCTATGCATAACTCCTCTCTTTCTGCAAACTCTTACTTAAAATCTGATACCTAAATCTCTCAATAAAATCTATTCACAATAGAGAAGTAGTAAATCTGAGAAACAGAACTAATTGTCTCCACTACCCTCAACACAACCTTATCTCTTGTTCTTGTTTGTGCTTTTTGTCCTTTGTAGTTGGCAGGGTGTATCTTTCATCTTATATTTTGTTCTGCCTTCTAACATCTGAAATATGTGCAGCACAGCAATGCAATGATGAATCCAGACAGATTAAGGTTAGTGATTTTAAGTCCTTTGGATAAGATTATTGTACTCTTTTCTCTCCTGCTATGGGGAAAAAAAAAGGCAAATTTTAAATTAGATTTTTTGTTTTTTAAAAATATATTGGAAAGTGTGCTACCAGCTGAAAAACAGTAATAACCATCCCATTCTCTTTCAAAGGTGCAATAATTTATTTGTAATGTGTATTGGAAATTCTGCTGAAGGAAGTTAAGAACAATAGCTGCATTAGGTGAGATCTGTACATTGAATGTTTTCTTAGGAAGTACTCCTAAATCTACAAGCCACTGCTAAGTGTATTGCTCAGCTTCCAACAATATCTTTGAGAACACATTTTACAGTAAATCAATCATATACTGTCAGCCATTGTAATTTGTCTTAGACTTTACTAATCCTATTGTCAGGGCGATATGAAAAGATTGATTTGTTTTACTGAGTCAAAAGGGAAATATTTAAGCTTGGTTTCATTTGTTGTTGCATAAACTTCTTATTTGATGATTTAATACAGAGCAAGTCACTCAGTCACTGCAGCAATTCTGAGCTATAGGACCTGAAAATACTCATTTTTCAGTCCAGACCTCATGGATTTTATAGAACTGTTTTACAGCACTGGCATGAAAATGTCACACATGAAGTTAAATCAAGTAGCACATCTGAAAAGGGATTAAAATGTAAGAATGCACTAATCTCTGATTATTTTTGCTTTTAAAGTCTCACCTTGGTAGCCTTAGTGAGCCAGTATCAGCCTACCAAGTATCACATGGGCATTGTACCACCTGTTCCCCAAGTGCCACACAGCTGTGTTTCTCACAGTTCTTCCATCAGGATCACTGTCATGCAGCACAGCAGAGTCCTCTAGTTCTTCAGAGAGGTCTTTAGCAGTGCGTGACTTCTTTCAACTTCAGCTTTTCCTTTTTATGGCTCATACAAATGATAAATCCATTTAAAATTGCTGTGTGTCTGCTGGCAGGAAAGGTGGCTCATTTCTCCTTATTTGATCTGTAAACATTGATGGCCCTAGGGTTATCTGAGAATGTAAGCATGTACTAAAATCATCTTCAAGTGCTGCTCAGACAAATAAAGCAATATAAATGGATGTTGTTAATGTCTTCCAAGAGCTGCAGATACTTTCTGATTTTCAGCATTGAGTCAAATATAAGAAAAGTGTTTGTATGAGCTAACATCAAGGTCCCTCTCATGTTGCTGCATTGTATTGGGCACTGTGAGGATAGCTGCAGTATCATCTCCTCCTTCATCATTTTAAGATAACCTTTAGATTGCTCTGCTTCACCATTTTTGTTTTTGGTGCATCTGGTTAGGGCACAGTGAGCACACAGTTGACCCTCATGCTGCTGGGAGTGACTCAACCCCTGCCTTCAGCAAGGGTGAGGTGACCCAGGCTTATAGTGGGGCTGCAGGGCAAGCAGAGCATCACCCATGCGTGCTCTCAAGGGCAGACCTTGCAGGAACTATTGTATTCTTCAGTGTAAGAAGTTAGACCATCTTAATCTCCCTCTCTCATGGAGAGTACATAAAATCATGTAACTCCTGACTTTCTGCAAAACTCTAATGTCAATTTATTGTAGGTCAGGTGTTATGGTTTAACCTGGCTGTTGATTCAGCACCATGCACCAAATGACATATAGTCATGCAGTTGCTTGATCTCCCCCAACTCCCAGTGAGATGGAGGAGAAAGTCAGGGGGAAAAAAATATAGAACTCATGGGCCGAGATAAAACTATTTATTAAGATACAGAAAAGGAAAAGGATAACAGTTAGGACAATGTATATTTATATATGAATGTATATAACAAGTTATGCATGAGGTGCAAAATGTAAGTCTATAGGAGTGAAAGCAAGAATAAGTTACCTGGGAGGTCCACAAAGAAGCTGTCTGGATTAAATCTAACCAGACGTAAAGGAGATCAAGACAAAATTATACAGATATAGCAGCAATAAAAGGAAGGCCAGGGAAGATGTGGGCTCTCTCCAGGAGACTGGAGGCCTAGTCAAAATGGATATGGAGAAAGATGAGGTGCTCAGTGATTTCTTTGCCTTGGTCTTCACTGACAAGGGCTCTAGCCACACCACCCAAGCTACAGAATGCAAAGGTAAGAACTGGGAGAAGGAAGAAGTGCCTGCTGTAAGTGAAGATTAGGTTCAAGACCATCTAAAGAACCTGAAGGTGCACAAGTAACTGGGACCCAGAGAGATTGTGGTTGCCCCCTCCCTGGAGGCATGCAAGGTAGGCTGGATGGGACTTTAAGCAACCTGGTCTAGAGGGAGGTGTCCTGTCTATAGCAGGGAGGTTGGAACTAAATGATCTTCATGGTCCCTTACAACCCAAACCATTCTACAATTTTATGAATTGCTCACCACCCCCCAGTCAATGCCCTGCTCACCTCTTGAGCAGCAGAAGAGAGTGAGATGAACTCCCACCCCCCTCCAAAACTCTCTTTTTGCTTGATGTCATATAGCATGGGATATCCCTTTGGCCAGTTTAAATCATCTGTCCTGATTCTGTCCCTTTGTATGAGAATTGCTAAGTCACAGTCTGAACCAATGATTGAGCACCTAGTGAAGTGACAGAACCAGCCCTGGGAGCACAGGTGAAAGAAATTCACCAGGTTCCACCCCTCTCTAAGCTTCATTTAAGGGCTGGCTGTCACAAGGGAAGGGTCTCTACCTGGATATCTCTCATTTTGGAGTATTCAGCAAGTTCTATTCCTTGGGATGGGTAAGCAAAAGCAAATCTTTCATTAACTATTGCCCTTTTTTGGGTGATTTAGAACTGGTTGTTTGCTGTTGCTTTTCCTGATACTCCTCCCAGCCCTTCATTAGTATGGGCTGAGAAACTGGAACAGCCTTGTTTCTGTACAACACTGCTTAGCAATAACTATAAACTTTGGTGTGCTTTCAATGTTTTTTTTTTTCTCCTAGAACAAAAACATAGCATCATACCAGGCACTTTGAAGAAAATAATTCTGTTCTAGTCACGTTACCCAGTAGACAGTATATTCTGCTGTTTGTAAATATAGAGAAGTTTCTGTGTTTCTCTGAAAAACATGGATACTTTAAGAAAGCATGCAAACCCTGAGTTTAAAATGAAATATTTTAACAGGAACTAATAATCTAGTGTAGATGGCCATACTCACAACATCTGCCAAAAATATTTTTAAATGTAAGTCCTTTATTCTTTTCCCTAAAAGTTAATGTAGAAATATTTATCAAATCAACAGCTTCAAATATCTTCTTCAAAAATAAAGCCTAGGTTCAAAGAGCTTTTGTCCTATAATGCCCCAGCTCCTGTTTAATGTATTCCCCTTTCTACTTTTGTAGTGTAATTGAGCTAATCTGCTGCTTTTTCCAGGCTTTGACTGCTCTTCATGAACATCTTTTTTTTATATGGGCTTGCTAATGTTGAGAAAAGAAGCTGTAGTTTTAATGTCTAACTCTTTTTCGTAAACCCCAAGGATAATTGTATCTAGACTTAAGCAGTCCTTTCTCCTTATGGCTTGCTACCTCATTTAAAAAGCAGAAATCAGATGCTACAACAGCAGAAATCTCCCCCACTTGGTGAGTCTTTATTTCCCAAACATAGGTGTAGCACTGAAAGACTCTCTATACCTTTGGCCTTACCTCTTCCCTATAGAATAGAAAGACTACAAGACCTGTAGATTCTGTGCTTGAGCACATGAATTACTCTCTATAAGAAGATAGGGCCTGCATTCTTTCTTAGTAGCATCATCCCAGTGTGTGTTCAGATAATTTAAGAACTACATGAGAGATAAAATGTCTCCACAATTGCCCAGCTACAAATGTTGGGAATGGGAGTGTGTTAGGAGTGCTAGCTATGTTTCTAGTTGTAACGTAAACATTTGACATCCGTTGTGTTGTGTGACTGGAGCAGTTCAAATGTGTACTGATGTAAACGTGAAAATACAGCATCTCTTTGCTGCATTCCTGCTCTCCTTCCTTGTTCTGTGAAGGGATCTTAGGGGATTTGTTGGTAACATAGTGCTGGTGTTCAGCAGAACATTCCCTGTGGTTCTGGCAGCAGTTTGATGGCACGGTTCAGTTTCTAGTTTCTGCCAAGGCCACACAGGAATGCCAGAGAACAAAAGCACAGACTTTACTGAAATGCCTGTAATACAAAAAGAAAAACAAGCCACTGCCCCTCTGCAGCTGAAAGGATGGATAAAACAAAACAAAAAAGATGGATTAACACGTTGGCTGCAACAAACCAGAAGAAAAACTAACTCGAGAAGACCTTTCAGGAGCAGAGGGAAGAACAGAGGAAATAAAATAGCAGTGGATTCCAGCAGTGAATATCCTAAATGTAGCTTTGGCTCAAAGCCTTCTAGAAATGCTTAGAATACATTTACCACAACATCTAAATGAATGAGAACAGGATGGAGCAATGACGTCTAGGCAAAATATTGTCAGCCCTTTAATCCAATGAGCACTCATTAGATGTGGAGTATATTTTCTTTCATTTTAGAGATCTGAATCAAAATAATCCTTGGAGAAATTTTTTCACTTAAGAAAAAATAGATTAAAAAATAGATCTTTTCCACTCATTGTTCTTATCTCCATCTTCTGATGGATTATATGAAAATGAAGGGAGTTACTGAAAACTTATTACCTTTCATCCTTTTCTCAGTTAACATGACTCTACTGTAGGGCTCAGTGCTGTGTTTGTGCACCTGACTGTATGTACTGGCAGGTTAGCAGCAATTGCTTTTACAGCAATTTTATTGCACTGAAATAAGGAAGAATGCCCCAGAACTATGCTTGTCTATGTTTTGAAAGAATATGCCTGTGAGCTCTGGTGAAGGCTCAGAATTCTGAAGCTCGAACTGCTGCTCATATCGCTTGCTCAATCTGCTCCTTTCTAGGCTAAGCAAATGCAATTCCTAAAGCCTTTCCAGAAGGTGATGTTAGTTTTTTTTTTTTCCTCCAGTTCCTGTTGTTTTCCCATCTGTCTAAATCTTTCTCAGAACATGATGAATAGACTAAATTCCAATCCTCCAAAATAATAATAAAAAAAAGAGCAAAGCAGCTCTCCTATGTGTATTACAAGCACAAGGCTTACCCCTTTTGTACTCTGTGTTCTTTTCTGTGATGAGATGTTTTTCTTCCTGTTTTGGTTTTGTTTATCTTTTCTGTGAGATAAGCCATATTTAAGAGTAGCAATATTTATGTTTGTCTAACATAATATGGCAATGATGATGACTGGTTTAAAAAAAAAATTTCCATTGAAAATTGCAAATCTCTCCTTAGCTGTGTTCAGCATCTAGCCTTTCGTTTTTTAAAATATGGATCAAAGTAGTTGCAAGAATGTAAAAAATGTGCACCTCCCTTTTGTCTGTTGCACAGAATCTGTATACAGCTTCATGAATCACAGAATCATTAAAATTGGAAAAGAACTTCAAGATAATCTAGTCCAACCATCCACCTACCACCAGTATTTCCCACTAAACCGTGTTCCTTAGTACCACATCCAAACATTTTTTTTTAACACCTCCGGGGTGATGACCTCACCATGTCCCTGGGCAGCCCATTCCAATATCTACCACTCTTTCAGAGAAGAAATTTTTTTGAATATCCAGCCTCAACCTTCCCTGGCACAACTTGAAGCCGTTCCCTCTTGTCCCATCACTACTTATGTGGGAGCAGAAGTTGACACCCACCTTGCCACAAACTCCTTTGGGGGAGTTGTAGGGAGCAATAAGGTCTCCCTGAGCCTTCTGCTCTCCAGACTAAACAATCTCAGCTCCTTCGGCTGTTCCCAGTAAGACTTGTGCTCTTGACCCCCCACAGTTTTGTTGCCCTTCTCTGGATGTGCTCCAGGGCTGCGTTGTCTTTCTTGTAATGAGAGACCCAAAACTGAACACAGCACTTGAAGTGCAGCCAAATGAATAACGAATGTGCATCTCATTGAAATGGAAAGTTTAAAAAATCCTCTTCGCTTTGGCAGTGTCTGAAGCATTTTTAAACAGCTCAGCCAAGGTATTCAAGGGGAAGTGTACGTGATATTTCAAAATAAATATGGCATTTTTCTCTCTTTAGTAATAGAGGGCAGCCTATGCATTTTCAATCCAGTTCTCCAGAAAAACCTCCTTAGGAGCAGTGGTGCATAAATGGTGTGAGTGATAGTCACAGGTTATTACTCAGTTGTTTCAGCCTCCGTTTAAGAATAAGTCCCACTGCAGTTTGTTTGCAGAAGCATACAGGCAGCATGAGGAACCTCTGTAAGCGGGCATGATAAGTACTTTTCAATTTTATGCATTTTGAACAGTGCTGTGTGACTTTATCTACATTGGCATTACTGTTAAAGGAAGAACAAGCACTGCGGCAAAGCATTCAGAGCGATATTGCTCTGAAGCCTGTGAGAGTCTCATTTGGAAATTGTGTCCTTATAATACCATTTATCTCATTTGGTCCAGTAGGAGGTGAAAAAACAGCCAGACTCAGCTTTGAACCTTTCACACTTCTTTTCTCTTAGTTTCTTTGCATGAGGCTATTTCATACAGGCCTACCTTTTATTTGTTGAGCAGAGTATTTCTAACTCTGCTGCTTCTGAAGCTGTTTAAAAGAAGAGATCACCAAGACCTGGTGTTACACCATGTAAAAACCAGTTCTGTACAACTGAATCTCAAGCCCCTCAGTTTCTAAGATGGCTAAATTCATAACCCCATAATGTTGGAGACTCTGCTCTGCAGCCTGGTTTGATGTGAAATGTTGCTGCTTGACCTTACAGATTCGAAATGTGGCAGCCAATCTCTGTGTGGACAGCAAACATGGAGCCACAGGGACTGAACTAAGGCTAGACATTTGTGTGAAGGATGGCTCAGAACGGACATGGTCACATGAACAGGTATTGTAACAGCTAAAAGAAAAAAGCAGTGTAAAATTGTTGGTTCTTTTTTCCAGCTTCTGAACATTTATCTGAAGTTTCTTCCTTTACTTAAGGTAAAGCTAAGTGTAGAAATTATTTCTGAATGATTGCTGACCTTAATAGCTTCTTAAAAGTACTCTTTTTAAACTAACCTCAGAACTTTGCCATATTCTTTTAAAGTTCCAAAAGGAACTCTAGTTCTCAAAAAGCTTTCGGGTCCCCAGTCCTATCTCAGTATGTCATGACAACATATTGAGTTCAGCTCACTTCACTGAAAATATTTTAAATACCACCTGGGCATCTATTGATTGTCTCCTTTTATGCTTTCATCTCCGCAAACACAGTAAGTGGTTGTATTTTAATATGAGCTATAAGCAAGATAAATAGTGTGAAAGCCAGAATTGCTTTCACAAACATGAGGGATGATAAAGGCTTAAAAATGCTTTAATCTGGGTTGGTTAGGAAGAAAAACATAACTTCTCAGGAGAGTGGGGGAAAAGAGCTCCAATTTGTACTTGCTGTGATTGTGAGTAGCATAGTAAAGAGATTGTGGCTAATTAGCTCTGGCCAACGTGAGCAGAGAATCAGGATGGAAAGTACAACCTGGCCATTTAGTAGCAGTTTTAATGAAAGTGCCTTCTGCGCAGCAGCGGACTCAGATTAGAAAAAAATCCACAAGGCTAAAGAGAAAAAAATTGATTGTCTAGTATTGCATTTTTGAAGATATTAAAAGCTCAAGAGGGAGGAGTTCTGAGGAATACTTGAAGTGCTGAGGTCAAAAATTCCTTCTCTAAGGACAATGAGAAATGCAGGGGAAGGTGTGCAAGTGAACGAAGCTGAGGAGCTAAAAATGATCACAATTTAGATAAGTGCCAACACAAGGGGAAGGAAGCTGCTGAAAGAAGACTTCTTCATACAGCCAACAGAGATAAAGCACAGCGATAGGATGCTGAGATAGATACATAGAATTAAGCTTTGTTTATGAAAGCAGCTGTTTCCATGGGGCCGGGGGGGAGCAGCACGTCCCTCCCTAGGGACAAGGAGTGTTCAAAGCACAGCGAGGGTACATTCCTCTGAGCACTGTGGTGCGGCTGTGTGGGATTGGGACTGCCACAGCCCAAGCCAGGTCACTGAATTCGTTTTTGCTGAACAGCTCAGTAATTATCGCACACTTGTCCAAGAGCTGCTGTGTTAAGAGTGTAATTCGAAAAAGAGGCGGCAGAGGGCAGCTCCGGACAAGCTGAACACAACCGGGCCGGGGAAGATGAAGAGTGGGCGGCTCTGAAAGCTTCTCAAGGCTTGAAACGGGAACTGACCGAGGGTGAAAAAGAATCGCTTAAAAAAAAAAAAAAAAAATCATCTTGCTGTTGCTTTGGAATATAGATAGATACTGTTCAACCCTCAAAACAGCCTGTTTTCTGTTGGCAAAACGGAGGTGGTTTTGATTCCTTTGTGTTTGTGGTGTGCTGCAGGTTGTGAGTGTTTTCTTTGTCCCAGAGAATGCAGCACATCCAAAAGCTGCTCTTACAACTGAGCAGAGCACGGCTGCCGTTAGCATATTTGCCTGGCAGTGTAAAGCTTAGAACTCACACAAGAAACTCTGAAGAATCTTTCCAACAAAATTAGAGTAACGTGATTTCACTTTCTCCTGGAAAGGGATCTTATTTGCTAGAAAGTAGAAGTTACAGAAAAAAGGTGATTGGACTAATATCTGTAATCTGTTACTGTATCACAGGGTAACATTTTATGTTCATAATCTTGAAGGTTCTATCATTTCATTATAATTCATTGGCTTATGGATTAGTTTAGAAACAATACAAAGCAAATTTTACTCAAATGTTCAGACTCCCGGTACAAAACAGTCATCTGGCTGGTAGGTTTCAAGGATCAGTCTGTACAAGGTGCAGATTTTAAAGACAGCAGTTAAGAAAGAAAGACAGAATCTCAAACTTTAAGATGAAGCAAACTAGATAGCAGACTTGGATGGAACTCAGAATTTCTATCCCAAAGGGAATTACAGCATATTCAAATCATCCAGAGGAGGAATTTCAGTTTTCCAGTAGAAAAGAAATTCTGAAAATGTTTAACTTCAGTAGAGCAAAACATTTTAGTGATGCATGGCTTGGATTTTTTCCAGAAATGAAGTAACATCCTTTCCCTCTGCCTCTTCCAATGTTTTTCTCAATGGAGAGATGGTGTGCAGTGGTATGAACGCCTGCTTTTCCACTACTCCAGCCACATTGCTAATATGATTTCTCCACATGCTGGTAGACACCAAGAGAGTTAATGAAAATACTGAGCATTTTATTATCATATTCCAAGTAGTGTGGTCTGACATTGAGCAGATCTTGTAACTTCTGGTCTGAATTTACAGAGAGTTCTTTAGAAAAATGTGATATGAGGAAAGCAGCAGGTGTTAATGTTGATGATACCACTAGACAGAGATGACCCATTGTACTACTTGATTTGTGTCATCTTGCCGGCCTCTTATCAGCCCCTGAGAAAAAGACTTTCTACCTCAGGGCTGTAAAAACTAATAGTAGGCAAACGGGCCACTTGCAGTTTTTTTCTGGTGAACAAGAGAAAGAGTCTCTGGGGCCAGAGACAAAAGAACAAACAAAAAAAAAAAAAGGTAGGAGTGAGGTGCCTCTTGACTCTCTTCTACCTCTCTTGCCAGTGCTAATTTCTGTTTCAAGGTGCAACTGAGGCAGATCAAACAGCAGCCAAGGATGTGATGGTCAGAATCTTCTCTGTCTTCTGAAGTCCTCCAGTCTGGCCAGGGATTAAGTGAACAGGCATCACAGAATCACAGAATGGCCAGGGTTGGAAGGGACCTCAAGGATCATGAATCTCCAACCCCCCTGCCACATGGTCTAGCATTAAATGATGAGGAAGTTGATGGCCACGTGCAGGGCCACCAACTTCCTCATCATTTAATGCTAGACCAGGCTGCCCAGGGCCTCATCCAATCTGGCCTTGAACACCTCCAGGGACAGGGCATCCACAACCTCTCTGGGCAGCCTGTTCCAGCACCTCACCACTCTCTCTGTAAAGAATTTCCCCTGACATCCAACCTAAATCTGCCCTCCCTCAACTTAAAACCATTTCCCCTCGTCCTGCAATCATCTGCATCATCTCCAGCTCAGCCCAGACTGTGTCTGTGCAACCTGCCCAGCTCTTTATTCTCTGCCCAGAGATGTAATTCAAGTCGAAGTCTAGCTCACAGATATGACACTGTCTTTGTGTAGGACACATGTCTGCTTCAATCTTGTGCTGTGGCCTGAGCACAATGCCCACTGACAGTGGGATCCAGACAAGCAGTGAGCAACTGAACAAAGTTGTCAAGCTGGAGAGCACTATGGTCTCAAAAGGTCCTTTGTGCTGCAGACAGTCCCAAACCAGTGGCTGCATCTGGCAATCATTTTTCAGGCCTAGTGCCAGATAGAAATTAAGTTGTTCTTAAAAGTTAAGGCAGCTGAAAAGCTGTCTTTTTCCAAGTTGTCCTATGAGAAGGCCAGCCATCATCAAAAGTTGAAGCATGCAGGCCAAAAGGTTACTTACTTGGTTGCGAACTCAGAGGATGGGGGTCTGGTAGGAGAATAAGAGGAAGGAAAGAAGAAGCCAGAAGGACAGAGAATTTCTTGGACTCAGTAGGAAACAACAGCCCTGGAGACTCAAGTGAAGAGAAAGCCAGCTGCCTGATTCTAATGTGTTTGGAAATCTCTGTGCAGCTTTGTTTCATATCTGGAAATGAATGAAAGCAAATGAAGTGTACTCCTTCATTTGGGTTCATCCATTCCTCATGAAGTCGGGCTCTGCTGGTTCCTAACATCCAAAGGAATATCCAAAGCATTAAATAGTGGCAAACCAGAGCCTTTTGGGGTCAGGACCACAGCTACTAACATGTAGCATTGTTATGCATTATACAGAGGAAAGATCATTTTTACATTGGCCAGGTTTAGCATTGAAGTGGAGAGAATTTGCTATGTTACAGAGGGTATCATAGAGTGGGGAGGTTGGAAGGATGTTGACCTTCAAATCTTATCTGCAAGTTTTAATATTATCTGTAAATTTTAATATCAGTTGGGTATATAGAAAAGTATGGTCTTTTTTTCCAATTAATTATTTTTAATTTCACTCTTAGTCCTAAAAACTAGTTTCTGCCCCTACAAGATTTATTTTATAATTGTATCACTGGGGAAAACATACTTGATTTTTAAATGCAACTGTTTTACAAAACAGCAGCCTAAGAAGGAAGAGGAGGAATCTGTGCCATCTAATCAGTGGGATCTACTATTACATAGATCATGATTTTCAGTGGAAGGAAATTTAAAAAAAAAAAAAAGAAGAAGAAAGAAAAAGAAAATTAAAAAAAAAAAAAAAAAGGAAATTAAAAACAAAAACAAACAAACAAAAAAAAACAAAAAACCACCCTATCTGGTATCAAATCAAGAGTCTTGACTTTCAAATGGAACTCAGCTTTCAAAAACCACACAGGAGTGGGAAAGGCAAAAGGATACCCTGGACCAGTCTGATCTGATTTAAAAGCAAGCTTTAGCTCTTTCAGGTGTACTGATGCATTCAGTGTGGCAGTGGTCCTCAGGGCAAGGTCCAGAGAGCAACAGGAATGGCCCCTCAGCTCACCAGTAATGCACAGAATGAAAAATTTGGAGAGTTAGTTGCTGGGGAAGATGATAAAGGTGTTGCAAAAGGATATGTTGCAAAGTAGTCATGAGAGTGAGAATATTGCAAAATCACTGTTCCATACCATTTCTCCAGGTATGTTATTCATCACTTTGAGCTCCAAGTTTATTACTTGGCTGCAGAAAAGTAAAGCAAAAGAAAGGAAATTGCTTTTGCTTTTTTTTCCTTCAGAGGCAAAACATCTCAAACTTCTCTGTTTTTGCAGAAGCAACATTGTAGCTTTTTCATATATCAAATCTTACCTCTGAGTTTGGTTGTGAAATAAGCTGTTTTGCAGGGAGCATGTGATGCTGCTTCCAGGAAACATAAAGATAAATGGATAAAGACTTAACCTTTTAAAAAGCAACAATTTGGTTCTTCATTTGAAAATGAAGTTAAAGTTGTCCATTGCATTTTAAGGCAGATAAATGTAAAAGGTACTCTGGGGGAAAGAAGAAATAAGCAGGGCACAAGGGAAGACTGAGAAAATGCTGACTGGAAGACCAGAAATAAATATGATGACAGGGAATGACAGATGCTCACAGACAGAACAGACAGAGGGCTTACAATGAGACACGAGAAAAACAGCAAATATTCAGATATATATGCTTATATTTTGTGCCTGCAGGCCACGGGAAACAGTAGTGCCTCTCAACAGTGGTATTATGGAGGATGGAACACTGTTGAACATGTAGCATTTTTGAAAGATGCCTCTTTTAGGTAGACCACAGAGAAAAGATAGTTGTCACAGTGAAAGGTTCAGAGTCTAAGAAGCACAGCAGGGGTATACCAAATCAGACTCCCAACATGCTGAGCTTTAGTTTGCATTTGTAGACAGTGGTTCCAGTATCAGGATATGGACACCCTGTGTGGAGCAGGGTGCCAGGTGAGAACCAGAGCTGCCTGGGATACAGTGGCTGAGGTGCTGGAAGCAGGTTAAGAACAGCACAGAGTGGAAGTGCTGTTCAGATAATGAGCCTGTGTGCAGTTCTGCATGAACTGTTACAGCTAAATGATTTCCAGTAGCAGATCATTTAAAGAGAGCTTTCTCAGTGTTATGCTTCAGTCTATACTGTGGAAAATTGAGAGTCGAGCAGAAAGTCGTGGAATAGCACTGACATGGGAAAAAAAAAAAAAAAAAAAAAGGAATTAAATTAAAAATAAAGGGGAAAAAAAAAGCTTCACAGCTTTCAGCAGAGCTTGTAGGCAGCAACATATGAGCTACAACCTGTTTTCTACAAGGATTGGTCCATAGGAAAGGAAAATGCATTCTGTGTCTTTAGATTTGCTACTGTCAGACCTGTCACCTTTCTCTTATGATTGAACAACTGCAGTGTCACAGCATAATTTCAGACAGCTGGTGCATGATTGAGAAGGATTCCTCTGTTAACTGTGAGCCTCCACAATTCTTCTAAGGCAGCCTGAAAAAGGGCTTTAACAGGCTGCCTGTAGCTCACAGGTTTCTCAGCAAGTAGACAAATCATTCAGTGTGTGTTGTTTTTGAAATGTTTTCCACTAGTAATAAATTATTGCATTGTCTGACTGCTTTTCTAGCTGTTCACCTTCGGCTGGAGAGAAGACATCCGTCCCGGGGAGCCACTTCACACCAGGAAGTTCTGCTTCGATGCCATCTCACACAGTAGCCCTGTCACACTGTATGACTGTCATGGGATGAAGGGGAACCAGCACTGGAGCTATAGGAAGGTCGGAGTCACTGTGGGTCATTTCAGAGATTAAGACTGTCTTGAGCCTATACTCAGTCTAGTGCAGACTTGTACTTTCCCTTCAGAGAAGTTGCTCTTTAAAATCCAATCTGTTTTATTCCAATTTAATTTTGTAGTAAACTCTCTGGAGTGTGTTCTCATTGAGCATTCAGCTACTTGTGTCAAATTTAAATGGAAGTGGATCTGATCCAGCTCAGAGTGTGTCCATGTTGAGTGTCTGAAAGGTGTTATATCATTCTGGCATTTGAAGCTTCTAGTGTCATTTTAAGTGAGACACTGTTGAAAATATTTGCATCTGACGTGACAGAATGAAGAAATGCTGCTCAAGAGTTAAACATTACTATTTTACTACATTTTACAAGTGGCAGAAACGTCTACCTCAAAAAACCCCAAACCAACATTAAAAGCACTGCTGTAAGCCTGAAGACATCAAGAGTTTATAAATTAAAGATAAGCAGCTTAGACACTACTTTGATCTGCCAAGTTCTGCCCATTTTGAGCAATCACTAAAACAGGAGGTCAAGCTAGGAAATGAGAGTGCCTCATTTGGGGTATAAAAAGTCCTGGTAATGCTACCAGGTTTTTTAAAGAATGATTAATCAGCAAGTTGTCTAGATTAAACATTTTGCTAATAAACTCTATTCCATGCAGGGTAAGGACGTACATTTCTGTGATGAACTGAGTGCTTCTTCTCATACATCCTTTGATTTTCTAAAACCACTGTGCCTTGTCCCCTACATTGCTTATTCTGTGACCTAGGTGGCAGGAATTGGACCATGCTAAGTAAGCCTCTGTAGTACTTTCTAGATTAGAGTTATTAGCAGGAAAATAATTTAGAATTATTAGAAGTAGCTTTGCCCCAAGTATTTTGAGCACCTGCTTGTTAGCCTGTGCCGTTTTTTAACCATATTTCTGTTGCAATCCGAGATGTATCACAGAATTTTCCCAGAATATGTTCTCCTTCAGATTTTACTCGTAGTGAAGTTAAAAGGTGTGAGCTGGCTATTTAGAGGACATAAATAGTCGTGGCTGTATTGCTGCATATATGGCTTTATAATGTCATTATAATCCCTTCTTGCTTCAGAACACTTCCAATTTATCTTTTTGATTGCCCAAGCCATACAAAAGAAGCTTTCATACCCCTAGCACTTCATTGGTGCCTAATGTAGCTGGTTCATAAGGAAAACGCAGATCTGGAGCTGCCCTCTATATGGCTCATCACCTTTGATGCGGACAGAACGCAGCAGATAACCCAAAGAAATGACATTTGAAGGGAAAAAAAAAAATGCACGATGTGAGATCTATTAAATCCTCTGCACAGCTTCATTTTTTATTTCCAGAAAGTTGACAGGGCTCATATAAAAATTCTCAACACAAGGCAGGCGTTTTCATCTCAGCAAAAGGCACCACAACATTTTGTGATGATGAAAGTACTGTCACAGTTCTAGCTGTAGTAATAACCTGATAGCAAGCTGATCAGTTTGCATGAGCACTTACTGCTGAACTATGAAACTTCAAATTAAAAAAAACCAAGTGTTGGAACAGTAAAAATATGCTCATTATTATTATTACTACTTAGGCTTAGTTTTAGTTTGGCTACCCACTAAGTACATTTTGTTTCATTGTATTAGATTTAATGTAGAAATTTTTGGTGGAGCAACTGTACCAAAAAAAAAAAACTGTTATAATGCTTACTTAGTTTTAAGAGCATCCTGAAAATAGGATTTATACTGTTCCCCAAAGACAAGAAAACTATACAGCAAAAAGATACTTCTATCAGTTTAATTGCAACGATAGTAGAGCTCTTTACTGAGAGGACTGTATGCAACAAAAATTGCACTCTAAGTAAATCAGAGTCATAGACTGTGGTTCAGCAAGAAGTGCCTGCTTTTAGAAAACAAAGAGCAGATCAGCAGCTGTGTTCTTTTCTCTGCATCATTTACAGAAGCTGTAGCTTTCTAATGGTCATGTGTCCATCTTATCAGTAATTTTTTAAGAAAAGTGACTTAGGTCAGTATCTTATAAGATGCTCAATAGAAAGCATTTCTTACTGTACTGTCATATCATACTCTCATATACTGTCATATAAAACTAGAAGATAATAGTTTTTTTAATAGCTTAAGCTACTTTCTCTTTTCAAGATTATTTGTATCCTCAGGCTCTGATTAAGTGTTTAAAATTCTAGTAAGTCTATGATAGTGAGTAATCAGTACTTTTAGGACCAGTTCAAACTTTGAGTCTGTAATAAAACAGCGAAGTCTGCGTTTAAGAAATCTCTGTAAAAAATGATGAACTAGACTGAGTCCAAATAATATTGTGAACAACACTGTGGGTTAGAAAAAGGAAATGAGTTTAATAATGGGGGAAACAAGCATTGATGCCATAATGGGGCTTTGAAATCCATTCTGGGAGCAATGGGAAAATGCTAAAAGTAGTAGAGATATTGGAGAATAACAGCTTTCCAAGAGAAAGCCATTTCCTTGACTGTGTTTATGATTTCTAAGCATGTCAGAGCCAAAGATCAACAGTGGATACAGATTTCCATTCCTCCCAGTGAAGCAATATGCTGTTTTTTTCAGCATAGTGTCACTCTGGAATGATAGGTAATACATTGGTTCTGATAAAGTATGATTAAATTTATGTGCCCTAGTCTCATCTGTAGAGCACATGTATTCAAGAGAGGGCTGATTTAGTAGGTCTTTAAAAAAATAATGGTTATAATTGTACAAAATCAATTTCATTATACTATAATTCTACACTAAGCATAGTGACTATGATAGAAGCTAGAGTGGCAACATCAAAACCTGCGCCGAGAATAGGGCCGTTTGTTCACACTCTCCTGACAGCTTCAGGGACAAACTGTAGAAGTTCACTCTTTACCCTGTGAGTTCATAGATTATTCCTTCAGACAATGAAAGACATGTCATTGTGATAGTGGTTTTTATCATACGGACATCTGTCCTACTGAAACTGCACTGGGGCTACTGACTAATTTCAGATAAACTACTGCAGCCACTGGCTGATAATGACTTCCAGTTGCTGTTGACCTTGGCCATAGTTATAGCAGTGACCTAGAAGAAATGAACGGCTCTGTGTCTCATTACCAATCCCCTGAACTGTCGAGAACCATTATCTTATGGAGAAGTTTCTCCTTCTGCAAACAGTATTCAGACTTGCCTTTATGCAGAAGAAAAAAAAATCACTCTGCTCTTTTCAGATGCTTGAAAAGTCTCCAGAAGGGTTCTTGTGGCTTGCTGTAAGGAGGAATTTATGTATTTCCCTCAGAAAGTTCTTCTCTGGGGTGCATGTAACTGTCACCCATTGAAGTCCTCAGCCTGTTTTTATTGAGTTCCATAAGAACTGCAGGCTTTGACCTTAGGTCAGTGTAAGCTGGAGATGATAAATTAATAGGCCATTATACATAGCTAAGGCAGCCAGAAGTTTTCCCACAGTAACTGTGTCCCTCTCCTTAAGAAATGCTCTTCTCTCCTAATAACCAGACCAGCTGAAAGAAGCACCAACAATGCTTCATTCAAGAATTGTATCCCCTGGATTTTTCTGTAAGAAGACAGACCGTGGGCTCTTTTGTGAAGGCTGGCATGTTTCTCGTAGCATGCATTTTGTACTGAAGCAGCTTCCTCTCTTCTTGTACCAGCTACTGTGTTAAAGCTTCTAGCATTCCAGCCTCAGCTCCCCAGTAGCTTGGCTGAGCCCTTCCCAAGCTACAACATGACACAAACCAGCTGTCCCCTTTCCACAGGGCACCACAGCAGGTGGGCAGCCATGGTACCCCTCCTCACTCCTAGCCCAGTCAAGACTGCTCCATCAGGCACCCACAGAGCGGCAGGAGGAGCTGACAAAGGGCTGAAGGGCACCTAACCACCCCACGGGTTCTTGGGAGCTCTGGTAGGGTCTCCTGCTATACAGGATATGATAGCCCTACGTGCACATTGCCTGTGATTGTAAGCTGCTCTCTGTACAGAGCAGATTAGGGCCTATGGTCTCCCTATCCACACAAAACTGGTTCCTTTAATTAGCCATGCAGGCTTTGACCACATCGCTCAGAATTACTCTCTTGTGAGTGCATGCATTTAGGGTGAAGAGTTGGGGTGAAAGCCAGTTTTTTTGAAAGGCAGGTAGAGCACTATCACCCTCCAGTAGAGCATGGTGCTACATTTTTGAATTTGCTCTCTCTGGCGTGTGCTAAATATTAAAAAATAAAAAATGAAAATAGTGCTTTACCAGTGTTTCACATCCCACAATCAATTTTCTCTTTCTTAATTTAAAAAAAAAAAAAAAAAAAAAAAGAAAGAAAGAAAAAAAGCTTTCCTCACTTTAAAATAACTTCTATTATTGCATTATATTTAGTTTTATCCTCATAACTTTATTTCTGAAGGGTGGAGTATTTTTAGTTAAAGATGTTTCTGTATGATTGTTGCTCAGCACCCAGAGCACTTTGGTGAGTTTATAATAGATTGTGATTTGACAAGTAGCTTTCTTTATTCCTTCTTACAAACTGGGCAAACAGGCACATCCTGAATTAGCTGGCAGAGCTTGTTTGGCAAGGAAGGGAAGAGCCTGGATGTTGTTTACTGAGAGTCATCAGAAGTTTATTTCCACAGATACAGTAAATGCATTATATAGTCCCTGGAAACTTTCAAGCCATCTAATCACTTCCATGTCTATCTCTTGGCCACTTGCCTACATGAACTAAACACATTGAAACTAGCCTACCCACAAATGCCTGTTGCTCATCTCGGTACTTTCTGCTTTACCAAAGATTCACAGTGGGATGATTTAAAATTCATTCTGGTTTTTTTTTGGTGTGTGTGTGAAATAAAATGAATAAAACTAAAAACCACGAATATCCTATTTAAAACAACTTAATCCGCGCTTATCCTCCCAAGATCTCCATAGGGATCTAAAAACAGCATTAGAATTTCCTTCTTAGGAGTAGAACTTAAGTATTTCAGTGGCTTGTCTTACAAGGCTGCAGGCAAAATCTGCGTTTTATGGGGTGAGAACTGAGATCATCAGTTACGTGTCTGTCCATCACAGCACTTCAATTAATATTGTTACTGACTTCTTCATCGAGTTGAAGAATACCCATTTCCCAGACAGATCTTTACAGATCCTCCCACCCAGCAGCACAGTAGAAACTGTGAAAAGCAACCTTCTCTCAAAAAAAAAAAATTGGGTTCAGACATTTAATTGGAGCCTAGGGAAGCACATAGTATGTAAAGAAAGGCATTCTCTTTTTTCATTATATTGTGTGGTTACTAGCTAAAGAGAAAGTGATGTCATTTCATTCTTTCCTGAATCCTCTATTTTTTTGAAGGACAATAACAGAAGGAACAAAAGTGCTAGATTCTCTACAAGTTTCTAAATTAAGCTGTGGTTGTTGCACAAGGTAATCACACAGAGTATACAAAATTATTTCAGATACGACTGTGTTAATCCATGTTCAGTAAAATGAGAACACTTCCAATTACTTGGCGTTTGCTACTTAATTCTATTTTTTTCTCATTTCTGTAGGACAAAACTTTGTTCCATCCGGTAAGCAGCAGCTGCATAGATTGCAACCCATCTGAAAAGAAGATTTTCATGAACAGATGTGATCCTTTATCTGAAACTCAACAGTGGGTTTTTGAACATATTAATATGACTGTTTTAGAAAAATTTAACAGCAAGGCCAGTTCCTAGGGAAAATTTAAAAATGAACACACCCAGTTACATACAGCCTGCAGACTACGTTTTCGCCAGCATCTGGGTCGAAGGAGTCAGGAATTAAATTTCCTAGATCCAGGAAGTCTGCTCTAAGGATTAAGAAAATGCCCCAGCAAGAGCCAGCAGGCTGTCCTTGAGGATGTACAGTATCTGAAGAACTTGGCTAGGAGCCTCACCGGATGCTGCTGAGAACTTCAGGCTGAAAATTCCCTTGCTGGTCAAGGGAAAATTTTGTTTAAAAACTGTTTGAAAGTACTCCAAGTTAATAAAGTAAAACAAAACTCTAGAGTTTCTCAGGTCTAATCCTGCTGTAGTGAGTAGTTCAGAACAGATGCTGTGATTTGGGACGGGTATATGGTGTGCATGACGGCTACAGGAACCTGAAGAAATCCCAGGTTTTAGAACTAAACATGCTGGTGGAAGAATAATGATGTCCCAGCACTCCCTAGACAAGATATATGCTCTGTTGATATTCTCATTATAAAAGGTCGGGTTAAGCAGGTTTAACCCTCAGAACTGCTGCAATTAATTTTAAATACCTCCCTTTTACATTCCATTCATTACCAAAATAGGAATGGTAGAAATCTTAGGGTCTAGAATTACACTGTAGTGAAGCATGAAATAAACTGTAAGGTTTTGCCCTCACATTTCTCCCTTCAGTTGGGGAAAAAAAAAAAAAAAAAAAAACAAACCATAAAGCAATCAAATTTCTATACATGGTATATTTAGCAGTTGTGATTCAAATCCCGTTGTCACACATGGTGAGATTGTTCTTTCAGTGACAAATGTAACAGCAGCTGCAACATAATAGAAGGCATGCGGACTAGCTATCTTTCCTAAGGTAGAATCCTTACCAAAGTATACATTAAGTTAAAAATAGGTTGAAAAAATCATCATGAGAGCAGGAAATAATTGCATACTGCATGCTGAACTAGGTTAGTCAAATTAACATTGGTACGATGCCATCATCTAAAAAAGCACTGTTTCTCTGTAGTGCAGCTTAAAAGATCTTGCAGAAATCATGTGGTGTTCTTGTCAGATATAAGTGGAGAGAAAATTTGACATGAAGCGAGTTAGGTGGTTTCAGAGTTCCTGATGAAGTCTGTGATGGAGATCACATGAACCTAAGCTGTCAAGTGAATGATACTGCAGATCTCATGGTGGAGGAAAGGAGGAATGAAACAAGTTACACGTGGCTGTATTTTGGTGCTTTAGGCACAGATACAATTCAGATTCAGACAGACTTCTGTCACACTGGTGGGCATTATGGCACATGGTGTCCTTCAGACCCGTCAAGCTGTTGTCATGAGAGGCTGCTAAAACTTATTTGAAAGGCCTATGCCTCTTCTCGAAAGGAATCAATTAATGCTAATATGTAGAATGTAACTAACAGGTTTGGGATTTTTCAAGGTGAGAGCATGTGTATATGTGTATCAAATAACTGTGTGGATTGCTTTTGTTTGAAAGGCAAAAGCACCATAAATGTGGGTAGATTAAATTCCCCAGAGGTGGCTATGAAGTGCCATCGGGTTCCAAAAATATCATAAGGAATTAAGTTGCTCAGTCTGACTGCTGGATAAATGGCTGACTAGCCAAAATACTGGTGTATAAGCCATCATGCTTTGAGGCAGAAGGGCAAATGTGTTTTATTTATTGCTCCTTACTCTCTATTTAGGCTCAAAGAGTGTTGATTGCATCCAAAGGGTGGTTCTTGTACCAGTTAGTGTACACTTTTATGACAGCACCTTGTAATTGCAGATTAAAAATTGTGTTAACCTAAAATTGTTGGTTATAGGAACTTTTTAGGAAGGGAATGAGATCCTGAAGCATTCAGGATGCATGCACTTGGATGCATCCATACACTGAGTAATTGCTGCAAGTTAGTAAAGAGGCCTTTTAATTAATCTAAGAAAAACAACTATAGGCATCATTTTATGATTTTAAAGCAAAGGAATTTGTGTAGGTACTGTTTTAATTTAATTATGGTGCACTAAAGGACGGAGGCAGTAAGGCTAATATGTGGGGATATTTAGGTTGCTGTCAGTACACAGAAGCAGTCTGGGCACTGCAGGCTGCCAGCCATCACAGATACAGTTCTTGTAGCATCATCATTTATTTGCAGCCTGAACGTGAGAAATGAGGATTTGGATAAAGAAAAAATGGGCACCTAAAATGTAAATTCAGTCCTCAAGCTGCTGATTGAAACTGGCCCTAAACTGTCAAAGTCCCATATGCCCAAAATAGAGAGGCAAAGGAGAACTGCTAAACCAGCTGAGCAATTTATAATGTGCACAGATTGGTAGGGTTATATCATTCAGTCTCTGCCTGTATCTTGGTGGTCTGACTTTGAAATGTCTGATGGGAACTATACTGCTGCTGGCGCAGAGATCTTCTATGCCTTTTACAACCCTCATTAATTAATATTGCACAGCATCCTGCACTGCCAAAGGAAACCTTTGCATTACTCAGTTGAACAGTGATTGTAAGCTCTAGTAGTCCCTGTCAGATAACAATCCATCTGAATGGTATCTAGATGTTTAGGAAAATTTCTGTTCTATGTATTGTTTTCAGTTTTTATAGGCAAAATATAAGAAAAGAGATATTAGAGTTTTTCACATGTCAGCAATGAGCAGCTTTTGATTAATCTGGAAATATGTTTATATGAAAGTTCAGATCTTGAGAAACATCTAATATCTTGGCACAGTGTGGCATACGCACGCACACACACACACACATATATGTATATACATGTATGTATACATTACCAGTGGAAAGAAGCAAGAGGCGGATGGAGGAAGGGCTGAGATTTCAGGTATTTATTATAACCAGAATTGCACAGGAAAAAAGAAAAAAAAAGATAGCAATCAATAGCCTAATAGAGAAGACAGTTACTTAACTGTTTTCAGTTTAAGCATTTTTCTGTTTTAAAAAACGTATAGAAAAAAGCTCTTATGCAGCTTCTCACAGGCAGCTGTAATCCTCCTGCTGAGCAGAGAAGGTGGCCCTAGGGACTGAGTTTCAGAGCTGTGCTCCTGTAGCATTTGGGCTGACGGATTCACAAAATGGTTATGACTTGCTAAGCATGGGACTCCTTCAGCAGGAAGTGTTATGAATAATAAATGATCATCCCTACCTCTAAATTAAATTCTGTCTTGAGTGTTCTCCAAAGCTTTCCACTGATAACAGCATTTCATGACTAATTTAGCATTCAGAATTTCTTTAAGTCTTCCAGCAACCATATCTTTTTTTACTCAGTGGACATCTGAGCAAGTAAAAAAAAGGATAGGATGGACAGATATATTTTCCTGCCATATTTAATCAGAAGTACAGTTTAATTTCAGTCCATATTCCTTCCAAAGACCACGAAATTTCTGTACAAAAAGGTGTTTAAAAAGTATTACATAGTGCACGGGTTGCACTAACTGATAATTTCAGTGAAATTTCAGCTGGTGACTAGCTTCAGTT